TGTGCTGAAGGTTGAACAATTACAATAGGTGTTTCTCTGGCATGGGAGGATTACCCACTTCACTCTACATGTCTAGATCATCATTCACTGGCACTGGCACACTTGAGCATTATACCTTTTGGTGTGTGGGGCTTTGCACACATATTAACCCGACTCTGTCCATTTTTGGGGGAGGAAGACTGAAGTAACAGACATTTGCTTCCATTTCACGCATGTATATGTGTAATACTGCGGAGACTGTGATGCTCGCTCTATGGTGTTCATCGCATGCAACATCTTGCCGTATCTGGAATGTGAGCTTGCAAGTCAAGCCGTGGCTGGGGCCTGGCCAGGGAGTTGGCGCTCAGCTGGCCGGATCTCGGCTTAGCTTGCTCCGGCTTGATGATCCAGCTCGATCCAGCGCGTCAGCTTGGCTTAGCTTAGCTGGCTTGGCGGCAACACTACTGGGGGGATTGCATTAACTTGAGCAACGCCATCGAGGATAATAGCGGCTCTCGTCATCCGCCTGTTTAGTTTGACCATTCATACTCCCGCCGCGCTTCTCCAATTATCGGAACCATCTGAAAACAAACATGTTTGCTCCATTGTTACATTACATAGTTCAGAGCAACCCTCCAGTGTAGTGGCGTGCAATAACAAGCACATCGTGCCACAAATGCGTCCTCCGATCTTGCCCCCCATCTCCCAGCCGTCGGGAAAGGTACGAGGCATCCACCACCTCACGTCCTGTCCAGTGAGAGTCACTACCAGCTCTTCCACCAGCCCAGAAAGTTTGAGAGCGTGGGCTCTCGTCCTTTCATCTACACACATGAAGGCAAGTCGTTTGATTGGATACCCAGCGAGACTTAACGAGCTTCTTCACGGCTGCGACGTCTCCTACCCGGCACACGATGACGCAGAAGTTTGTCAGGGCAGGGCAGAGTGGTTCTTGCCCCCTGCGGCGTCGACTGTCACGCAGGGCCTCGGGAACCGTCGTAGGCGTGGGCTCCTCGGTTTCTGAGCCCTGGTGCCTAGCGGGATCCACCACTACCAGCGTCTCCAACTCTCTGAAGTACTCCAGAACATCAGCGGTAAGGAGGTCAATCCACTTGTAGACCCAGAGCTCCTTCACGCCCGATGCGAGCGATCCGCCCAGGTATTCACTGAACAAGTCTTCGGCCATGAGCCCTGAGACCAGGCTTCGTCGGAATGGGTAGCAAAGGGGGCACGTGGACGATCTCCAAATGAAGACTTTTCGTGATGGCATCATCGGAGAGTTGAACGTGGTAGGAATTGTCGGGACAGCGGGGACAGTTGAATCCCTCATTATCGGGGACGATGCGCCATCGAGAAAGGTTCTGCGTGAAGGGGTGCTTCAGCAGCGCGGAGAGGAACGGGGGTGGTCTTCGGTGCTCCGTTGCTGCCGTTGCTGAAGGTATATGACTGTAGTCTCCGAGTTTGTGGAAGAGAATGAAGCAAGATGCGGGAAACGAAGTTCGAGCGAGGAAGTCGTCCCAGGCCCCGACTTGTATAGTGCATCTCTTGAGTGACGGGAGATAAATCATCAGCGCATGTTCGCGCCTGTTCGCGCCTGTGACGATCTCGCCGGATGTGTACTAGTAGCCATAGGTATTCCAGTTCAGGGGTAGTAGACAAGAAAACGAGTACGTGGGAAAGCTCGTGTGGACCTCCGTGTGTCACTTCAAGACTTGTGAGGTCATGGAGTTTGTCACGAAAGTTAGGAAGGCAGGGAGGACGGGTAAGAGCTAGGTACCGAAACCTTCTCATTAGTGACGTGCCAATAGCGCGGCGTGTGGTGGGGGCATCCTCCTGATTGTCGAGGCTTCCTCTTGTACTAATCGCAGTGCACACGAACGACGTTACGAAGCCCTTCGACCGGGAAGATGGCATTGAAGACCCCCTGCAGGCGACTATGGAGGTCTTGAACGAGGCAACGGAGCTTTTCCAATGATCCATCCGAGGATTGATCTAAAAGATACAAAGTGACTGGTATGGTGCGGGAGAGGTGCAGGTAGCGAGCCCCATCGTCGTTACATCTTCTGTTCATGATGAGGTGGGACCAGAGAAGGGGCGTGGACAAGGCCAACGCTCGCCAATTACCACGTGGCAAGGATGGGTTTCAGGTTGTTGAACTTGGACTTATCCGGTCCGGACTACACGAGGCTATGCGTCTCCTAGCGCTTAGCTGTAGTCGCTTATGTAGTATGTTACCATATTTGGGACTCTCTGCTCGTGTACTATAGCTATGCTTCCGGACTCTTCTGGTACTGTCTAGGACAATCCGTACTACTCCAGAACGGTCTAGACAAGTCTATGCCTTACTCATCTCTTACTCATCCTATGGTGCGATACGTCGCAATTCTTTCACCATCGTATTATTCATCGCACTATGGTACATGTGACTAACCACTCTTTGATTAGTCATGGACACTTCTCTGTAGTATATAAGGACTTCAGATTGCGTCCTCCCTCTTCAGTCTTTCCTTACTGACTGAAGAGTGAGTACTTCGTTACATCTACCTCTAACTTGTAGTTACTTACTTAACCTTTGTAGTCTTGCTTCGACTCTAGGTACAGTTCGTT